GGGGGGGGGGTTTGGGCGGTCGGCCGTCTAGCTACAAAATGTTCCTCCAAATGTCCGCCATCAATCAAGTCAACGCAACTAACCCGTGCAAAGGAAGTTGACTCAAAATCCTTCCAAACCAGAACCAGAACTTCCTCGTGTTCAGATGTAGATCCTTCCTCCATCCCTGGTAGTCATGTCTCACAGCGGATCGGGAAGTGAGGCCAAATATACTACCTCTCACCCACCATCGGATTTTCCCCGTGTGGCCTCTGACGTTGAGGAGTAAGACAACACTTGGCTTCGCCGCGAAGACTCATATCTACCACCACCACCACGTCATTCATGTACTACTCCCCGCGGGGACCCGAACCATTCTCGGTGCGCTGCTTTCCCAAGTAACGCCCCCCGAGCTTTTCTGCCTTTGCTCCTTGTCTTTTTCGTTGGTTTTTTTTTAATGCCTTCGCCTGTGAGGGCCCAGAGCAAACAGTCCATTCGAGAACACGGGAGACAACCCTCTGGCAGTCGCCTCAGTGAGTCGCTTCATAGCATTGCTCAACGGGCACACAGGAAGTTTTTTTAGTTGAGTTTTTGCGACTTCAGAACTGCCATATCAAAATTGAGTGAGATATGTCTCTGTATTCTTTCCTCAAATCTTGGGGTGCCAAACCATAGACTCATGGGCGAGGCTGTTCTGCCAACACTCATCCCGCAACATAAAACCATCTTCTCTATCGTCAATCTCATGTGAACCAAAATTGAGAAACAAGACAAGTCCTAGAGCAAGCAGAGTAGATGTGCGACATCAATAATACAAAATACGCAACAGAGGAAAAGTCGAACACCGACTTCCTCGAACCTCTTTGTGAGGCACAATCCATCCAGTCATCAAATCATTAGCTGGCCCCGCGCCAGATCAACATTTTCACGACACACGCTGAGCCGCGCACAGGCAGCTACTGTCGTCTCAAGTACACCAAGCTCTGGTACCCATTTACTGGCTTTGAAAGTTCTGGTAGTCCAGGTTCCAATCGATAGACTGGAATGGATCCTGTGATGCCTGCGAGTAGCCCAAACCGGCGCTTGGAATTTCGCCAAAGAGGGGTTCGTAGGTCTTGGTCATGTTGTTGGCGGGGAACAGCTGGAAGTCGTTGCCACAGAACTCGTTCCCCCCACCATTGAAATTGTCCTCGAAGCCTTCATCGACCTCAGCCAAGGAGTTTGGTGTGAAAAGCATTGCGTTGCCCTGGCCGATAGGAGAGATGTGCGGGGTGGTCTGGACAGGAACGATCTGGGGCTGGCACACAGGGACAGGTTGGTAGATGGGGAAAGCCATATTCATCTCCTTCTGAGCAAAGACGGCTCGGTCTGGAGTGGGAATCTGGGCGTGTGCACCATAGATGTCCTCGTTCACCGTAAAATCGGGACCATCCTGGTAAGCGTACGGGCCGTTGGAAACATCCGTGTTGGGGGTGTTGTGGTCGGAGGGTGACAATGACATCTCCAAATCCATCTGTCCATCAAATCCACCCTGACCAACCATTTGGTCAAACTCCTCGTCCGAGATGTAGGTAGGGAACTCCATGCCATCAATATGAGAGGCAAAGTCGTCCACAGTGCCAATGGGATGCATGGGGGCCAGAAGAGGGTCGTTGAAATTGAATTGCTGAGCCTGGTCCAAAGGCGGAGGTGGAGTGGCAGCGCTGCTGGTAGAGGGTGTAGGCATGTGATTGAGCAGAGGAGTAGACTGCGTGACGCTGCCGGCAACACTCGAGGGCTTCTTGCCGTTGGTCTTGGTGCGAACGTATGTCCAGCCATGGGCCTTTTCCATGTGCTGTTTGCAGTTTGATTCCCGCTTGGACTTGTACGGGCAGGGCTTGTACAAACACTCATACATGGGCGGGGCCGACGAGTGCTTGTCGTTGTGGTGACGATCCATCTCCTTCTCCGTCGGCCAACCATAGTCGTGGTACTTGCATGACTTGACGGGACATTTCCAAGGACGCGAGTGAGTCTTCTCGTGCTTCGTCAGGTCGCAGGGACGCTTGAACTCCTTGTTGCAGCCGGGCTCACGGCACTTCTTGGGAGCAAGCTCCTCAGGGCTGGCATTCTTCTTACGGCGAGCCATGGAACGCATGATCTCCTCGTCATCCTCCAACTGCTGGCTCAAGGAGCGCTTCATCTGAATTGGACTCTTGGGGTCCTCCAGGTCAACTTCCAGACCAGTAGCCATTGAAATGGCCTTTCCGTCCTTGCGGATGCGAACGAGCTCGGCCGGGCGGCCGTTGTCAGCGATGCCTCCGAAGAGCTTAATCTCGTCAGTTCTGGGCAATTTGTTAGTTACATTAGGCAGGAGTTGGAAACGGGTGTCATACGGGTCAACGTCCATATCGGCAGCGTCTGATCCAGTTTCCTTGGCGGCAGCAAGTTGTCCGGCGTACTGGCGAATCTGTTCCACGAGATCGATGAAATATCCGTTAGTGTAAGGCCGGTCGTTTGGTCGAGTCTGTTCTCGGTCGCTTAGGTATTCCACGGTGGCTTGAATGCAGTGGATCGACGTCAGGCAGAAATCGAGGTACAAGGCGGCGGTCTTGGTCCTCTCCTTCATCAACGATCGATAAGTAATTGCCCAAACTCCAGTTTCAGTTAGTGAATGACTTACGGGTGCCATGAAAATAAGTGTCTTTTCGAGATCTCTCAAGCAGATGATCTCCTTCTCTCTGATGCGTCTGGGGATGTCAAGAACAATCGGCTCAAAGTCCTTGAGAACAGGCTTGGCCCTGAGGGGACGGAGGACGTGCTCGTGGATGCGGTTGACAGCCTTGGAGCTCAGAGCGGGAAGCTTCTCCATGGTGGCAGAAGAAGTGTTGGCAGCCGACCTAGTGATGGCCGATGCCTTCTTTGATGCAGTGGTTGCAGGCTCTGTCTCGGTGGTAGGTGCGACAGAGGTTCCGAGTCCGCTGTCTGATACATGATGTCTCGAGGAACGGCGGGTTCTGGGACGCAGGATGCGACGTTCCGTCTCCTTTGACTTTTCCTTTGCCATGGCGGGGTCGACAACGGGTAGGTTGAGGAAGCCTCTTGGGACGGGAAGGCTATCGTCGCGGAAGGACTTGGTCTTGGGGGAGACAAGGTTGATGTTGGCGAGTGACCTGTCAATGTCGTCGACAATCAACGCCATGCGGCGGCAATGGGCGTCGACAACGTCGTCCAGGTTGGTCTGGGAGCGTCGAAGGCTTGGAGGAGGAGAAGAAGTCAAGGCATCGTCCAGAGAAGAGGTAGGACTGGTGGGAGAGTGGAAGGTAGCGCCCTTGCGGAGGCTGTTGGTCTTAAGAGTAAGGCCACTGCCGGCAGGAGACTCCGGGCGAGTCACCGGGGTTCTGCGTCGGGGGTTGACGGAGACGGACATGGTGACGGTGATGACACGGGTGTCCAGAACTCTGCCGACTACGTCGTGTTAGATCTCTTATGGGTTCATCAAATTGTAGGGCTGAATAGGACACGGGGTGTGAGTCACGACCAGGACCTCGATGGTAGGTCCGATGTTGTAGTCCTAGCCTCTGAGCAAGCCCAAGGTTTAGGATTGGCCAATGTGATGATGTGGCGGGAAATGTTTGAGACGGAGATCTTGTGGGCAAGTGGATGAAGAGGGGGAAGGGGAAGAGGAAGAGACCAAGCCTTACGTTGAGATGAAAAATGGTATCAAAGGTAATGAGGTCGATGCTGTAGGATATGGCAACGGAAGGCCAAACAAGGCAGACGGCGAGCAGGAGAGTCGATTTAAGTCGAGGCCGAAAACAGTCTGCCTGATTTTGAGGGGTCTGTCTGCAAATAGAGAAGCGAGACAAAGTACGGTGATGCGCCTTTTCGTCCCAGCTGTCGTACGCGTCGGCGTGTGCACGAGGATGGAGAAGGGCAGAGCAGAAGTACGAGTAGCAGTCGCCGAGTGCGATATTCTTTGAGGGATGTATCCGGGAAGAAGAGCAGGAGAGCGAGTAGGGTGGAGGAAGAAGCGGCCTGAAGTGCGGCGGCCTCAGTGGGACAAGGCGGGACTGGGTTGTGTCGAGGAAGCGGCTTGGGTGTCCTAGAACTCAAGGACAGCAAAGGGGAAGAAAGCAGAGCGAGGAGGACTGGGTCGAGGATTCGGGGTGGGTGAAGGAGGGAGAAGAAGCGTGATCGTGAGCGAGGAAATGGTGGAAGGATGTTTGTGGTAAACGGATGAGTGAGCCGGTGGTCGAAGGTTGTCGAGGTTGATTAGAAAAGCAATAGCCCAGTGGCCAGCAGCCAGCAGCCAAACGAGCACAAGAGCGCTGCTGCGCTGGAGCGACAATGAGCGGACCAGAACTCTGAGAGCGCCCGGGGCGAGAGGCTGCTGCCTAATCGACTAGCCAATAAGAGATCCCCGCCGCCGACCAGTGGAGGCGGAGTCTGGGCTTTGCGGACCAGGAAGGATCCAACCCCCGGTCACTGTTGCCGACCCTCAAAAGGTTAGGTACGTGGGTACGTACTTGCAACCCCACCAGCGAGCGACGTCCACTACCTATCCCGTCGTGCCCGTCCCCAACTCCCCAATGATCTCCCAGACTCCACTCCCAGACTTCCACAGGTCCCCGGTCTCCTCGGTCTCATCGGTCTCGTCGTCTCGTCTCCTTGCTGGAAGAAATGAAGAATGATTGATTCTGGCGAGTACTTTCCGTTAAGCCCGCCCACCGGCTACAGAAAATCCCCACGCGGTCCAAACAGCAATGGCTACACCTCATTCCTAGCCACTTCGACATGGGAGACCCGCTGTTAGAGTCACCGCAGCTCCGTAGCTCGCTGCTCAAACTGCAGGGCGGTGGACATCGTCATAAGCACAGCCCCCGAATCAAGCATCAAAGTACACGATTAGCACCGACTACCTCTCACCACCTCACATCACCTCGCCCTCGGCAATGTTACCATCACCATACACCATTATCCTGCCCTGTTTAGAGACACCCAGACGCCAGAGTAACGGCAACCCGGAAAACCAGAGGCCAGGTGTCCTCGGGTGTGTCAGATATGAACACTTTTGCACTGCACTTTTGCACTGCAACTCGACCTTACATGGTACCAATGACGCTGTCAGCAAAACAATGGAACCTCAAGCAGCCAATGGCCCCTACTCCGACTCCGTCTCTGTTGTTGCTCCAACTTGTCACCTTGACTGCTGTTTGTCACTTACTGTCCAGCTAGGCAGTCCTGGGATTGTTCACTCGGTGCATAGCACCCATCCAATATACAAACCGACGCGCACCTAGAGCGGAGGCAGACGAATTCTCTGGTTCCTGAATGCTCCGTTCGAGGGGCGGCAAACGCAACACATCACGAACTATAGAGTACGTTGCGACAGAACTATGTATCGGATTGACGGCTGCCTTCTCCAGCTCGCAAACCTTGACGGGTCCCGAGTAGCGGGAACCCAAGGGTCAGATCCGGTATTGTGTTTGAAAGCAGGGTGTGCCAGCCGGACGGGCGCCAGATTATCTCCCTCTGCCCAAAGTCACCTCACAAATGGAGACGGCAGCAAGGCGTGACCGCAGATGGGGGTGTAACGCAAGGTCCGATCAAGTTTCAACATCCACTGCTGAAGATGAGCTGAAGTGGGCTATTGGACATCCTCATTTCTCGCCGTCGCCCATTCGGAATCCCAAGGAGAGACTATTTGGTTGTCCAGCCTCAACAGGGTCGCGGAAAGCATTCGTCCAGATCAACATACGAATGACCGGAAATGCTCTTGCATAGCCAAGCTCTCCAGTCACCAGTGTCATCTGTCTTTACGATACGGCAATGCACAGCACCGCTCAAAGTGGCTCTCCTTTGCATGTCTGTTGCACCGGTCGTGGCTTTGAGGCCGCTAACGGTAGGGCGGCAAGCCAAGAGTCCTCAATACCTACCCTCAAGAGGGCCAGGACTGGAACAAGACTGCAGAGGGACTCATACATAGTAGTCTCATGCACGGTACCTTTTTTACACTCGGAAACTGGGTCAGGGATTAGACTTAATTTGGCCTCTCTCTCTCGCTTACCCCCGTCAACATCAGCCCATCAGAACCAAAGTCCCAAAGCTAACTCCGTCCATCAATCTCCACCCGCCAGCCCGATCCATGACTTCCCACTGGGTCGTTTCATTCTCCGCCAACTGGGCCAATTCCGCTCTTCTGTCACTCGGAGAGCCCTCAGCCTCCTCCATAGGCGCTCAGGGTCGCAGCCAAGCTGCCATCCAGATTCCACTATACGTCTTATTAGCGACGACAAGAGCAGGACTCCCCTTGCATTTGCCCAAAGCGGCAGACGGGCTCCAGTGTGGAATTGAGACCAACACACCAAGCCTTTCATTATGTCACGCTTCAATGCGGAAATCGACCAATCATGCCCTCGGTATCCGTACGGATACCATTTCTCGCACGCAGCTGATATCACAATCTCCATCAACCCGTGGTCCGTGAGATGTGGAGTTTGCTGAGGACGGTCCACTGCGGAACAACTGCCATGGCCATTGCTGACTGTTGGGGGCCGATCCAGCCAGCTCATCCACGGACCACGGACCACGAGAGAAGAAACCGACGAAACCGACAAAACTGGTGCTTCAACAAGTTCCGGTCAAGGTCGGCATTTTCGTCCGGCCTGTCACTAGACCACGGGACAGGCAGGGGTCGGAACGACCAGCGGGCGCTCTGGCTCTGTATCCCACCCACCAAGATTACACACACCCGGTTTGATTAGCCAAGCAAAGCCCACCAGTCTGGTCTGGGTCGGCCGAATGACGTTCGGGACAGAGCACGCGGTAACAGGGTTGCAGTTTGAAAGTTGAGAAGTCTATCCGTAAACCGCTGGTAACTCGCGGCTTCGCACGAGCGACCGTTCGCATTTCACCTAATCGGGATTCGGGGACTCAAAGAGTTTGGGACACCAATATGAGCAACATGGACCTGCATGTCTTGACTCGTCAGTCGTCACCCAGCTTGCGTCGGTAGATGCTTGGCGCCTTGCTCTGACGGTGCTGGATTGCGCGGTCGCGTTCATCACCAACTGTGGGGATTCGTCCTCTGTCGTGTATGCTTGTTTGCTGCACAGGACTTTGGCGCAGGGAAAGTCGCATGACGGATGCGCGTCTGCTCGCAGGAACACACTCAAACGAACCTTTGTCAACCAATTGCTCACCACCATCATCACTCGCACTCGTACAACCCGCCAGGTCCCTCTCCACACGTAGGGCTGGCGTGGCTGTCCCAGTGACTTTAAGCCAAGCCAATCCAAGCTGGGTACCGCCAGACGCAAGAAGCAAGAAGCAAGAAGCAAGAAACTCAAAGCAAGCAAGCTTTTTGACTCAAAATCGGCTCCCGGCTCACCGTCCACACTCACCAGAACGCAGGAGAGAGGCGGCGTCCCATGGTGCTCGAGAATCTTGCCGCTTCGTCACCACACGGTCGTCCCTGATTAAGCCGAATCCCGCACCCCGTATTCCAGAGCCTAAAGATCGCAAGACTTAGGAACCCCCCTCGTTCCAACGGGTATCTGTTCGTCCGCAAAAGCCTCTGCTACCGTCCCATTGGCTCAAGAAGCCCATCGTATGTCGACACGTAGGCGGTCACGAATCAGCGATCCCGACCCCAACTGTCTGCCCGCGCTCAGCCCTACGGGTGCCCTCCTCACCAATCAGCTCTGCGGAAATAGAGCAGCCTATCACCAAACTCCGCTTCGCCGATCTTTTGCGGCCACCTCTTTTCTTCCCAAGACACTTGAATGCGTCGCAACAAGGCATCAGCATTTCTGCTTCTTTGTTGGTCCAATACGATACGTACCGACCCCTTCGCATCTATGAACCGATGTTGCAGGCACACCGTTCCCGAGGCCACGTTTGTTACACCTTACGCACAAGAGACAAGAGCTTGTCAAACGGATCTAGAGGGTTCCGTCATTGATTGGGCCAACACAGAGGCCACGAATCTGCATCAAACGTAAAAATTTAGAGGACTATGACTTTGGTGTTGTTTATTCTCTCTGCCTTGAGCTTGTTTCCTTCGACTAGACTCTTTGGGGGTTTGTTTGTTCCCAATTCATGCACGTCAGATTCCCAATGGGCTTCCAGTTGAACCTTCTTTCAGCGGTCCTCAAACATGGTTTGATTCCCTTGTGTGAGCGATGGCTAGCGAGGACAAGGATGCAAAGATCGCAAGAGCATTGACTCTACTCTAATTTCTCTACTTTCTGACCTGAGGAATAATGGCGCCCCTTCCAGCCACGCGGCTGAAGCTCACCGTTGCGCCTCATTGGGGGCCTCACGCCCTTCGCCACAGCATCTCGACCTCGTCTATCAGTTCCTCCAGTGGCAATTCAGGGGGGAATCCCACTCCTTTGATGTGTGGCTCCGGGCTGACTACTGTGCGGCCGTCCTGCTGACCCCGGCTGCTCCGTTGTCCTCTCTCGTTCGCGACGTATGGTTGCTGAGGGCGGCTTGCGCTCGCGGTACTGCGGGCTAGCCCTCCGGACCCCTCGGCCGTCACCGCACGGGACGTATTATTGGTTTTCTTCGTGATCTTGAGTGGGCGGGGGACGAGGTGCAACGTGGGACCGCGAACGTAGAGTGGCGGCTGAGGCTGAGTGGGAAGATGTGCTGTAGAACCACTTGATTCCTGCTGCTGCTGCTGCTGCTGCTGCTGCTGTCTGTCGTGACCTACCGGTATCCGCTGGTCTTGCGGTTGTTGGTGACGATCAGCCTGCTGGGCACCTTGCTGCTCTGGGCGACGACACTGCTGGCGGGCTTCCTGCTTACGGGCTTCGTGAAATCTATTGTTATGCCATGGTGACGTTGGAGATTTCTGGCTTGAACTGCCTAGAGCAGCTCCACCACCACCACCGTCACCGCCGCCATCATCCCCGATGTCTCTCCTCGGGCCGTTGCCGTTGTAATAACCCCCCCTTGGCGCTCCCCAAGATCCCGAGTTCTGATATCGACGTGTAGTTGACCGTTGTGAAGCCTGTCGGTCTCCTGAAGCACCGTAAGCATCATTAGTAACCCCGCTCAAACGTCCCTCCACGCACAAGTTTTCATCCGCCATGAACCCTTGCCGTCTTAACGAAACAGTGGCGGCGGCAGCGCCGTCCGGACGCTGCCTTCGCGTCGGTGTCACCGGGACGGCCATCCCCTGGTTCTTCGCAGCGGCGACGGCCTGGTCCTGCACACAACGGGGACACTTGCCGCTGACGGGGTTGGCGCAACGCTTCCTGCCGCGGCACGCGCCGGACCCGGACGCCTCTTTCTCCGGTGCTGGCGTAGACATGAAGGCGAAGAAGGGGCAGACGAGGACCATCCACGAGCTCTTGCGCTTTTGCGGTCTGTCGTTGTCGTGGCTTTTGTACTGTTGATCTTTCCGAACCGAGTGCTGAGAGGAGTTGAAGCTGGACGAGTGGTCGCGCTGGCGCATCTTCCAGTTTGTGCAGTCCAGGTCTTCGAAGACGCTGTGGTGGCAGTCTGTGTAGATTATCTGCTTCTCCCAGCACATCTTTCTTCTCGTTTTGGTGGCTCACTTTATTTGTTAACTTACCTCAAGGACTTGTTATCAGTTTCGGGTTAATTTAGTCGAGATGCAGCCTCTGGAGGCAGTAACCGTCTCTTGTTTCGATCCTTGGCTGGCACAGACGACTGGCGTCTTTGGAGACAGACTTGTTGCCTACTCCGAGGAGGGTTGCGTTTTTTGTACGATGAGTAGTGGCTTGAACAAGGAGGCTGAACAACGCCTTGTGTGCCTTTTGTAGGATTCCACGGCAAGGTTGATGTCCTTCGAGAAACGGAGGTGGTTGTCGCAATGGCGTTATCTTGGATCTTCATTGTGCCTTCGTTCTTGATACTCAACAACTACATTATTCTCTCAGGATATTCTTCAATCGGACCTAAGAGGGCGTTTGGCATATTTCTCTCGGATAAGCAGCGGCCATAGCAGCAACTCAAGACGACCTCAAACCTTACTCCTATTACTGCCCATCTAAGGGCCCATCTCAAGTCAACCAGATAGGCCGTTCGTTCTCGGATATCCAGCTCGGTAGGGATCGAGATTCGAAAAGATAGGTGGGTCGTAGGCAGCCGCTGAACAATGTCAAGAGGCAATTGAAAAATAAAATGCGTCTACCTCAAGTGTCACAGAACAAGGGTTCCTCATCCGGAACATTTGCCGTTCTCTTTCTCGCAACCTATTTTCTCATTTGGAAAGAAATTGGAAAGATGTCCGGGCGTTTTCTTGTTTGCCAGCATGTTTCTCTCCCTTTCCACAACCGTGAAGATGGAAGTCATAGACCCCAGTCTGACCACTTGTCCATGAAGAACATGAGGTTTCAAGAAACAACTGAATTCTTCAAAGATCAACTAAGAAGACACGCTACCGAAACCGAAGGTCGTTTACGACGTTATTGTCATGTTCGTTTCGACGCTGTCTAAGGGCCACAAAAATCGACCAACTCTTCCTTTACACGCCCATTCAAAACAAGGGAAAGGCAAAAGGTCTCACGAGAAACTGGCGTTTCTTTGACACTACGGACTCTTTTCTCTCCCCTCTCCCTTGCCCGACGAGTAAGGGGGTTTGAAAACACGTCCTCTTTCTAAATGTGATATTTGGCCTCAAGTGAAGGCAATAAGAAGGGAAATAGACCCAACAAAGAGGTTCCCCCTTCTTTGAGCTCCGTCTGATTCAAAAGGGAGTCAGATAGCTCTCTTCTACGGTTGATTTTACATTTGCATTCTCTTCGACTTCCCCTCAGTCTGCCAATTTCTTTTGCTGGGCAAAAGTACAAACGCCACGGGGAACAAGAAATTCAACTCGAGAAACAATGGGCTTCACGTGGCCATCTCTAGGACGCTGGACGTCCAACAAAACCAGAGCGCAGCCCTCGAGATCATCCCGCGAACCCTATCGTCACGCACCCGCCAGCAGCCGTGCCACGACTACGACGACGGAGTGCTACTCCCCCACCACCGCTCACGAACACGAAGACGACGGAGAGGACAACTACGACGCGCCCGATTTCTCCGTATATAGCGACTCTTCCCCTACGGAGCCCCGGCCGCACCTGCCGCCGCCGCCGCCGCCGCCACGTCGCTCGGTGGCGCCGTTGGCACAGGGCATAGAGGAGACGGAGTCGTTGCTCAGAGGTGAGTCTCCCGCGGCGCTAATCAAGCTCATTCAGCGTACGAAAGGCGCTGAACGATGGGGAAGGAGAAGCGATACGTCCAACGCCTTGGAAGAAACGGACGATGACGCATTGCACGTTACCTTTGGACCGACGACGACAGTCTGCATTCGAGGAGGGGCCGCCTACGATGATGGCCTTAATTTCTCCTCCTCTGCTGACCGCCGCCGGTGGTCCTCGGAGGAAGAAACGACGGTTCGGGATAGGAGAAGACGGGATTCGTACGAAGACCTGCAGGAGTTTGAGGATTGGCGGCACGGTGAGACTGGCGGGTGCAGATGCGGATGCGGGTGTTGCCAGCAGCGGCTTCACGAGGACGAGGACGAGGACGAGGAGCTTGAAGAGGAGCGCGATGAAGCGGAAGAGGTAATACGCCGACACCGACAAGGGCCGGCACAGATCAGTGGTGCTGTGCCCAGTGGTAAAAGGGAACAAGACGGTGCTAATGCGGCAAGTCATAGGTCGGAGGCGCCAAGGGGGAAGGCAGAGGTGGCCATCGAGACGTCGGGGGTGGGTGGGAGAGATGGACTGCTTTCTCATCCGACGAACGGCATGTTCGAGGAGTATTTGATGACGGCCGAGGGGCCGGTGATGGTCTCAGTGACGACGGACGAGATGACTTTGGTCGATTATACCAGCGGAGAGACGTCCCTAGCGGAGGTCCCCTCGGGCGAGATGGACTCGCAGTATACGGAACCCTCCGACGGTCAGGGTAGTCGCCCTCGTCTGCCGTCGCTCTACTTCCAGGATCTGGTCAGTATGGTCGAAGAGGCCGGGATCTCAGCTCCTTCGATTCCAGTGACGAGCGTGGTCAACACGAATGGACCTGATCAGATGCAACAAGACTCGTCGAGCCCCTCGCAGGAGACGGAGGTGCTCTTTGATTTCTCCGAGCACATGACGACCGAGATGGGAGAGGAGCAAAACGAGAGATCGATTGGAGACATGTTGACCTCGTACGAAGCCTTTTCTGGGGAATTCGAGGGTTGGCAGACTGACGCTGATGAGGAGGAAGATGTTCCCCCAGAGGCAGCGGCTCACGAAATTATTCGTCCTGTCACTGGGCTGGGTTGGTACGATGACTGCGATGACGACGAGCGATCAAAGTATTCCGACGACGGTGCTCAGAACTCTGTGACGAGCATCATCAGAGCAGACGGACAGTCCAACGTGGTGTCAGACAGGGGGTCGAACTTCCCAGTCCGGAAAGATTCGTTGGAATACAGTCCCCGAGCCCTCACCTTTTCCGAAGCGTCTTACACGGCCGTGATGGGGGAAAGGAACACGACGACGGAAGCAAGCGAACTCGGCGGGACGTATACCACGCCCATGAGAGCTATTGTCGACAACACGAGCGGCTTTCTCCAGTCGACCACCGCAGAAGACGAGCACTGGGTCTCATGCCCAACATCCCCGCGGCCCTCCTCGTCCATATACGATGAAGACCTCTCAGAAAACGAGGAAGAGATAGACGACCTCATTGACATCTACGCAACTACCCCCCCTTCCTCAAAAGAAACACAGCCATCATCATTCTCCCATCACGAACCCCCACTCTCCCCCTCAAGCCTCGAGGGAGACCTCTTCCCCCCTTACCACCCCTCTTCCCCATCCGCCCTCACGCCCCTCCACACAATCGCCCGCGGCCTCTCTCTAGACCCCTCGACGACCCCCTACCACAAACTCCAATCCCACCTCGCCCGCAACGCAAATATCCTCCGCTACCTCGTCCTCCACTGCGTCCCCGCCCCCGACATCAACCCGCTTGAGCCCGTCAACGACCTCGTCGAGCCAATCCTCCCCCCTCCGTTGACCCCGGGGCTGGGAGAGTACGCGCAAAACTTCCCCTCCCACCCGCGCAGGCGAGAGTACACCCGTCTCCTCCAAGCAATCCGCTCCGTGCAGTGGTCCGCAGACACAATAAACGACATGCTCGCCGTCGTGGACTTCCACTCCCCGCTTCCCTCTCCCGCGTTCCCGGCCTACCCCTCGCACCAACGGGCCTCCACAGCTATCCCCGCCTTCCGAAAACTCCGCACCGCCGACGCAGAGCAGAGGGGCTGCCTGACTTCCGCCCAACTTCACGAGCTGAGCACGCACGGCATCTCGCTCCTGGACGTCTTACAAATGAATGACGTCCCGCGGGTCGTGAGCGCGGGGCTCGGCGGGCGTCTCGTGCAGGCCGCGGCGTCTGGGGCGCTGGGCGTAGCGAAGGAGTGTAACTTGCTCGACGAGGAGGGTGCTTTGCTGGAGTTGCTGGCCGATCCGGAGGAGAGTTCGGTGGTCAAGGGTAGTACCCGGAGCCATAGGAGGAGGCGAGTGGGTAGAGGGAGTGGGCTGAGGTATTGTGTGGGCGTTGATGATGAGGGCGAGACGGATGTCGGCGACCATGGGCCGGTTGACGAAGAGATGGACGATGACGAAGATGAGGGGTATGAAGAGGGAGCGTGCGTCGACGTTCTTGGTGGAGAGGTGGGAATCGGGCACGTTGCCGCCGACGACGGAACGTACCTCGTGAGCCCCTTATCCCCTGAGTCCCACACCGTAGAGCACAACTGGGGGGACCAGAACAATGTCTCCCTGGCGATGGCGACCTCTCCACAATCCGAGGACCTCATGACCTTCTCCGACGATGACGACATCCAAGACCCGTCTTCGGACAACGATAATGGTCACCTCGACATGAACCTTCATGTCAGACCGCTGAACATAACGAGAAAGAAGCCCACGCTGAAGAGATCGCACAATTTTCGAGAGCTCAGCACCGTAGACGAGAATACCAACCCACCACCGTCCTAGACGACAAGGAGACCGGCGGGAACCCCGAGTTACGGCGTTTTTTCAACGAAATCGGGGCGACGCCGGTGGTGGCTGCCGAGTCGGACATGGTCGTCGTGGGGGAGGCCCGCGACGTAGCGACGAACTGCTGATGTCGACGCGAGATGTGGCGGCGAAGAAGTCGAGGCCACTTTGGGGACCTCCAGGGAAGGTTGCGGTGTAAATCTGGGAGGCGTGTTGATTAGTGAGAGTGTTTAAGAAACCGTAAGCGAATTCGGAGTTTGGTGAACAAATTCCATGAGAACTATGGGGCCCGTGGATAGAAACAAGGCGTAATGACTTTTGTAACCATACAATACATCTATAGAAACAACACAACAAACAACACAACAAACAACAAACAACACAACAAACAACAAACAACACAACCAAGGGGTATCTTTTTCCTTTTCAATTTTCCTCCTCCTGATATCCTCCTTCAAACATGAGCCCATCCATTGTACACAAGGACTTGACCCTCGTTAACCAAACAGTCGACCCCCTTCTCGCTCCGCTTCTCCTTGTCACCAACACCTCCCGCCTCCCACTCCGTAAACCTCTTCCTAACAACCCACTCTTTGAGCCGATCACCCGTCAACACCCGCCTCACCCTTGCCTCCCAGACCCCGGCCATGATCCTCCACACGGAAAGCCAGCTCCCGCCGTCGGCGGGATGGACCGCGTCGTACGCCGCCGGCGAGTACCCGACCCTGACCCTCGGGTTCACAAACACACCCAAGTCCTCCGTCAGCGGGTTGTCAACGTGAATCAGACAACACTCGCTCGCCTCGAGGTGCGCCTCCTCGGCCAGCGAATCCGCCACCCCGCGGAACTCGAGCCTCCGCCCTCTGTTGGCCAGGAACGGCGCCGCGGGCATCGCCACGATCCCGTTCCAGCAGCTCCGCACCGGCACGGCGTTCGAGTACGCCAACATCGCCTCCCGACTCGCCTCGGAGCGAAAGTACGGCCACGTCTGCATCAGGGTCGCCTGCCCCGCCGAGTCCCGCAGCGCAAAGGTATCGTAGTAGGACGGCGGGCGCTCGAAGTCGAGCGAGCAGGCCGCAGCGAAGAGCCCGCCGTTGGTGTCTAGAAGTGTGAGGACGTCTTCGGTCTGGAGGTTTCGGACCCGGTTTTAGCCTCCCTCATTCCCTCAAAAAGTGATTCGCGTTCAAGGTAATGCTCATCTTGGGACCCAAAGGAATCAAGAGAGGAAAAAAAGAGGGAAGGGGGGCAATCTTACTGTAAACACCACATCATTCAGAAAAAGTACCGTGTCAAACATCTCCCCCTCCTCCCCAAGCTTCCACAAATCCTTCAATGTTAAATTCCTCAATTTCGCGAGGAACGGGATCCTCCTCATCTCCCTCTTGCCCCTCGGCGTCATAATCCACCCCTGCCTCGCCTCCCCCTCGGCTGGGACATCCTCCACCTCCTCCGCGTGCGTCCTCTCGTCGAGCACAACGTTCCTCCTCACCCCCCTCCCGGCCAACTCTGCGTCCAGCTCCCGCAGCGCTGTCTTGGTATCGTCCCAGCTCCCGCTCTCGTACACAGAGACATAGACATTGTCCCGACCGAGCGCCTCCACGAGGTCCAGCACCGCTTTATTCCAGTGCGTCTTGATTATGCCCTCGTCATTATAGTGCATGCCCGCGATGTACACCCTCCCCGGGTGCCGCGGCCTCGTGGGGTCGTGCCGCGGTGCAGAGGTCACGCGGCGCTGGAAACGCAGGGCGTCGAGGAGGACGTAGACGGTGATGAGGAAGACGAGGTTCCGCAGGCTGCGGGAGCGGAGGAGCCGCCGGGCGGTCAGGCGCAGGCCGTTGAGGAGGCCCATGGTTTTTCGGGGGTGAGGTCGGCGGCGTGCGCTCGAGCTCTCGTCGGTGATCGTTGGGTCGGAATGGTTCGAGCGGATGGGGACCGGCGTCTGAGCCAAGAAACAAAGATGTGAACGACAGGTCAGTGAGCGAGGGGAGAAAATGAGAGATTTAACTTGGATGCCATTGAACCAGCTCGAGGGTAAAGATAAGAGAACGAGTATAAGAAGATTCACCGGCGCAATAACTCAAACCCCCTCCTTCCTGCACTGGCCAAGACGAGCGAGGGACAGACTCGTAATACCAGGAGCCCGCGGGTAACTCAGTTGACAAGTAGCTTTCGACAGGGGCCAGCTAGGGTTCACTGCTGTCACTGTGCGAGCTGCGGTCAATTGGTGTTATTGGCCTGGAGAAGACGGGGAGGGACGTCATTGGTCGCTGGAACACAGCTCACCCCTGCATAAGACGACGACCGTCACGAGCGAGATACGGCACCGACCAAAGCATGGCATTGCAGTAGTTTAAGTGATGCTTTTCTCTCTCTACCTCATGCACAGAAATACCACCATACCGTGGGTACATCGCAGCTTCACACATGAATAAAGGTCAACCTAGAGTATACCATTAGACTCAAGAAAACTACTAATACACTCCCCAATTATCCCCATTTTCATCCTCTATTGGACTCGTTGGTCACTGTCTGCCCTTGACCTATCCACTCTAGGTCGCTGGAGGTGAGAGTCCGTCTGACTTCTGGGGCAATATCTTCTAATATCTGTATCAATCCCACGCGGGGTCTTGATTGCAATGAAATTGCCATTTATTTGGCAAAGTGCAGGTCGTAGCCGAGCCACTTGCGACGGACAACCTCGTCGACACTGAGGCCGGGGTATCCGTAGGTCAAGGGCAGGAAGAAGTACCAGCCGGCGAGGGCAATGAGCAAGATAACACCACACGCTGTCCAAGCGCCAGCGAGACTCTGACCGGCGAACCGCTCGCGGGCCGAAATGTGCCTCTTAGGGCCATCGGCCTTCTTGTTGCCCTTGATAGCCTCGTAACCCTCCTCCGGGGCGGGCTCGGCGGTGAAGATGAACTCAAGGAGAGCACCGGCGACCAAGCAGGAGGCCAGATGCGCCGGCAGGTAATGGTGAAGGAAAAGTTGACGGCCCATCAGATAGAAGGGGAAGTAGTGAGTAGCCCAGGCAAGGAAGAAGAAGCCGGTGGAGTTGTACAACCGCGAACGGGTACCTGCTGATAATTAGCGACGGTGTCCTAGACAGAAAAGATACGCACGGTACTTACGGTGGTCAAGGGCGTCAATGCCTCGTCTAAGTGACACCTGGTCCGCGCCGATGATACCGGCAAAGACAGCCAACAGACTGCTTGCGAGCCACCAGCCGATAGGGTTACCGAGGAAGTAAATCTGCTGGCGAGTGTCGTTGTGAGTCCAGAAGCTGACACCGCGGAGCAGGAAGGGCCACTGGTAGGGGTGGCTGGCGTACGGGTGGCTGCTGGTCAATTGGTTGTTGTGCCAGAACATGGAGCGCTGCAGCTCGAACCACTTGCGGAAGAAGGGCAGAGTCTTAACAGCCTTCTCCGGCTTCTCGCGTCTCTTAGAGTCCAGTGGGATCCCGGGGAGATCCTCGACAAACCAGATATTGGAGCTCGGCGCCAACTGCTTGTTGCCGTTGATTTCCTGCTGCTTGTGGCCCCACTCGGGCAAAGGAGTGGTGTGAGTCCACATGGCAACCTTGCTGGGGTTGTGGATGAACTTGAAGTGGCTCGAGATACTCTTGAACTCCTGACCAGGCTTGCCATTCTCGACGCGGATCTCAAAAAGAGTGTCATTGAGACGGTCACCGTACGCATCAGCCAACGGCACCGTGGTGAACTCCTGATTCGTAGGATAGTAAGGCGAAGCGACGTCATGGGACAGCAACATGGTGTCGGTACCCAAGTGCCTGAGACGGACAACATCGTTGTTCTTGACGGCCTTGCCCGTCTTTTGGTCGTCGACCAAAGGAACGATCTGCCAATAGTTGTTGGTGTCGTTATAAGGGTAGCCGGTAACCTGCTGGCCCTGACTGGAAACACGGCCGTCATCGTAACGCAGAGGGTAGTGGTCCTCGTGGCTGTGCAGGTAGGTCTTGGTCTCCTTGTGACGAATGCTGATGGTGTCATAGTACTCTACAGTTAGGGAGCTGGCCAACATGACGTTGTCGCTCAGCGTCTCCTGGAACTCGGGGGTCATGAAGTCGTCGCCAGGACCAGATCGGGTCAGGATGGCGAAGTGAACCTGGAACCAGAAGAGGTAGAAGAGAAACGGCATGATAATCAGGCCAAAGGTGCGAGCAGCAAAGTGCTTGCCAAAGTCGGGAAGACTCAGGGCACCGCCGGGTCTCTTGATGTCCAACAGGGCCCAGAGATCGATAATCACAGCGGAGCCGATGGTGACAAAGGCGAAGAGTCCAACGTACTTTGTCGAGATATCAGCGGACAGGGCGAATCCAGTGAGGATAAGCCACTTCCACCACTTGCGCGAGAAGGGCTCGTGGCGCAGCTTGTAGAACTTGATGTAGCAGAGCAAGCTGCAGGCCATGGCGAAGACGAGAGTGGCATCGAGAAGGATCAAACGCGTCTGGCCAATGTGGGCATTGTCGAGCAAGACGAGACCAGCGGCTAAAAGGCAGGCAGGCAAGCTGTAGCCAGACTCCCACATGATGAGGTACGTGACGGAGACGGTCAATGCGCCAAGAATGGCGGGCAGAGCTCGGAAGGCGACATAGGGCACCTTATTGGAGATGTAGGAGTCGCCAATGTTCTCGAAGTGGAAGTGTCCGTCGTAGCCAACGAGCCATCCCATAAAGGCAAAGAGGAGCTTTCCGAACGGAGGGTGGACATCGAAAAAGTAGGTTCTCTCGAGGTAGTAGGAGGCAAACTGTGGTAAAGAGCAGTGTTAGCCATATGCTCTGGTGATTCTGGTTCTACAGTTTGTTTTTCTTTTTCTTTTTCCCTTTTCTTCGTTCCCTCTTCGGAAGAGAAGTGTCCTACGTACCTTGCCAAAGTGAACTTCGTCAAAGACGACCTCATTGGGATGGCTAATGCCCCAGAAACGAGTGACGAAAGCGAGGATGGTGGTGATGAGAAGGCCGACGCCGTACTCGGGTTGGGAGACGGAGTGCTTGGTCTTTGCACCGGCCTTTTTCAACGACTCGACGACGGCGTCAGCACCGGCGGCGGCGGGGGTCGTAGGCCGCTTCGCATTGTTGCGCTGGCGAACGCTGCCCTGCGGGGTGGCAGTCGTCGACGCCATGATGGGGGGTGGGGGGATTCGGTGAAGGAGCTGCTCGGCGATGGAAAGGGTTTGTCAGTCCAAGCCTCAAGGCTGAAAAGTTTTGGGAAGAGGTTGTTTGCAAGCTGGAAATATTTGATCCCCCGGGACAGGTCACCACAGAAGAAGGACAGATAGCTCTAACTGATCGACCCGATGGGATTGTATTGGGTCCATTGGACGAGTGGTACGTATCGCACCAAGTCCGCTACCTTGGAGCTGTAAGGGAGCGGGCTCAGGGGCTTGTAGCTAACTTACACGCTATGAGGAAAAGTGGAGCGCGTCAGCCCTCACGTCACGTTGGTCAAATTCGAAGAGAAGAAGGGAACGTAATATAAAGGTGACGCGTTAAGGAATGACTTGAAGAAGAGGAAAAAGATGCTGGGCGAGGGGAACAAAAAAAGAGGGCCCGAATCGAATTTCACCACGATGGAGACGGATATCGAGGAACGGAAGAAAATAGACTAGGAACTTAGGAAGATTGATCGCTTCTCTGGGGAACTTCTGGCGGAAAAACTCATAGGAGACCCCCTGAAGACGTGCAGACTGACACTGAACCTTCCCGGAGACTGGATGGCCCTACGGAGAAACGTAGGGGACGGGATAACTTTTGGCAGGGATTGCTCTCTCGGGGGCCACCATGAGGACAGAGGATTGGACACTTGGCCAAAGTGAGCGCCATCATCCAGGCACTCGTCCAGGTACCTTGCCCGGTGCTGGGCATGCAATTCATTCCATTGGACCAAGCTGCGCTAACAATTTCGGAACTGTGTTCCAAGGGCGGCTTGGGGGATACTCGGGAGAGCAGGGGCAGCTTCAGCCCACCTTCCATTCCCACCTTCCGCTGAGATGCGATAAGATAAGGATCCCGCGATACTTCGTGGATCAATCCACAATTAACGGTATTATTCTCTCACGACTAGGTAGGTGCTGAGAGCAGTCTGTCATTCAACGATAGGCTTCCTCTAGCATTTATAGATCCCTCCTGAATGAGTGATCACTGCCATGTCTTCTAAGGCCTATGTAGCCCCGTCCTAGGGGGAGAGAACATATCAAGACCGCGGATACATATATCCAAATATTCAAGATCATTCCCGGCAGATATCGGAATCCAAAAGAGCTTGCAAATCATCAGTCAATGTCATGTCGGCCGAGGGCTGAGCCAGGACGCATCCGACAGCTCCTTATACGTTCCTATATAAGGTAAACCGCGACTGGCCGCGCCGACCACGGGGCACCCGCAAAGAGACCCGACGACCACCCCCCCGCAGCCCCCTCTCCGCCCGGGCCCAGCGCCGAAGAACGGAGGGCGTGCCGCAGCACACTCACCACCAGCGGCACCCCGCCCGAACCCGCCCGTCCAATCGTGAAGCTCGAACTCTATATCTTGACCCTCAATTCGCCGCGTCCGCCCTACCTGCATGACTGCCTCTCTCCAATTGCCCAATTGTCCATAACCCCTCCATTCACGATACCACGATACCTCTCACCTCCATTTCCTCCTTCAATGTCCTCACTCCTCAGATCCGTCACAAGATTCTCATCCCGCGTCGCCGTCCGCCAGTCATCACGCCTCCTCGTTACAAAGTTCCACCTCCAGCCCTTCAGTGTCAACGCCGCCAAGATGTCTGAGCAGTCCATCGTCTTCACCAAGAACGCCCCGGCCCGTGAGTCCCCGTCCGTCCCCATGTGTGACTCTGAGCAACACTGGCTAACAATTCATTCCAATAGCTGTTGGTCCCTACGTATGGTCACCCACCCTACACTGCCATTGGATTCCCCAAGAGAGCCAAATCTAACCATCATGTGAATCTCCCTTCAATAGTCCCAGGCCATCAAGACTCCCACCGCCATCTACTGCTCCGGCCAGATCCCCCTCACTCCCGAGGGCAACCTCCTCGAGGGCACCATCACCGACAAGACCAAGCAGTGCATCACCAACCTCAAGGCCGTCCTCGTCGAGGCCGGCTCCTCCATCGAGAAGGTCGTCAAGGTCAATATTTTCCTTGCCGACATGGGCGCCTTTGCTGTGAGTCCCTCTCCTCTCTCTCTCGTTGACTATTTCCCACCCCCTCATCTCATGCCTAACAAATCACCATAGGAGATGAACGGCGAGTACGAGAAGTGGTTCACCCACAAGCCCGCCCGCAGCTGCGTCGCCGTCAAGACTTTGCCCAAGAACGTCGACGTCGAGATTGAGGCCATTGCCCTCCCCTGAACGTAGGTGTGACCTTGAAAAGAGCCAGGCCTCGTGAAGTGGCAGATGGCAATTCTATAGATCCAATCAAAACAAAAAAGATAAGTTAAACGTCCAACTAGACGTCGCCAGATTCGAGTGACCACCCCAAGTACCAATATGGAGCACAGGAGCACGGGCAGGAGTTACCATTGTGAGTACTCGATATATGGTATCTACTTGGCCCTTTCCCACATTGCAAGCGTGATTTGTAGACTGTGATCTCAACGTGTGAGCTACGCCAGCGAGTTTGACCATCAATGTCAGATCCCGGCTCTATCAAATAGACCCACTCCAACCGAACGTCGTCAAACGCCGGCACAAATGATTCGCAGCTCGCACACCCCTCGTGAAGTCCTCACTACGTCATCTCTTGCGATAACTCCACGGGAGCCTCAATTGTAAATAATATGCAGAAAGGTAGCTTGATGTTCTACACGCCCTTCCGTCTATCGGTACAAATCCCACACCTCCCAGCAGAGCCTCCACCAAGCTAAAGCTCCGAAAGGAAAGGCCCTCCTCCTCCTCTGTGTCATCCTCTCCTCGTCACGGCAGCAATCGTAGATTTCGTCTATTCCTCATCGTCATCGGCAGCCTCGACGTACTTGTGGCGGATATCCTTCCATTGGCGCTATATATACAGTCTCGTGTCAGCCAAAAGTCCAAAACCTCGGGCTATGATTCGAAGCAACTCGTAAACCTGCTGGATTCACGGAGCAGCTTTGCGCCCAAAAAGAAGTCAGAGGACTCGGGGATGTTCTTACGCCGCGGTTCAGGTAGTCCCAGTACTTGTTCATCGCCCCGTTGAAGCCCCTAGAACGGAAACAAACACATGTTAGCCCACTGTAATGCCCTCTCGACCTCGGACTTATCGGCTTGTTCCTCCTCTAGGCCTCGCAATAATATCGGTACGTCAAGTCTCAAAAGGGGGGTTTCTTCTTACATCTCGAAAGCAAAGCCCGTCGCGAAGACGAAGCCGAGCATGGAGAAGTTGTTCTTGAAGATAGCGCTGTTCCCGCCCAAACCCGTTAGCATATAATGTTCGTCACCGCAATCAAGACGGCCTCCGTCGGTTTCAAATCGCGCGGTTTTCGGCCAGCACCAACGATATCGGTCGGCGGAGCGGAAGGAGGGAAGACTTGCGTGTAGAAGGGTCGTGCGGCGGCCTGTACAGAATGAAGTGAGCGATTAGCCAATTGTGGTCGCGCGAGAAGATCCCGCAGTACCGTGGACATACCATTGTGAATGTCGTCTGTCAATTCGCACGTCTCGTGTGGTGGAAAGGGTGCTTCGTTGCGGTCGGCGAGGCGATGATCGTTCGAGGTGGGTTGAGTCGGATAGTGTTGGAAGTCTTGACGAAATTCGCGATGTTCCGGGAGCACTTAGCTTTGCCGAATTACATGGGCTCTGATTGGCTCTATGACCCACCTTCCCTTCAATGGCTTACCGAATGACTAAGACGTTCCAGCCTCGATAGTCATTCTCGAGCCACACTTCCAATTAGCTGACGCCACAGACTTTTATGCAGCGTCGGCACTGACTTACTTGCATGCTGATTTCACAGATTGCGGCACTTCCATCTCAGCAGCTACGTTTTAACGAGATCGCTTTACCACCTTCGCAGTCTGACAACGACATGTCGCGGATTCAACCAAGGAGTTTTTACTACCTAATCACTACTCTTACATGACTACGAGCCTACTGTTGCTGAAATCTATCTGTTTCAACCTTCCTTGATAGGTGAGACGCTGTGGTCATGACCGCCCATCTTCGCCTTCGCATGGGCTTTGACATTGTGCATACGCTGTCGGAATGGCATGTGCTCCTGCGCTCTGCGACCTCTGAGTCCAGTGTGTGTCCGCAGAGGAGGTTCAAGTCCGCCCGTAAATTTGCGATGCTCTTCGAGGCGTTTCTCTGAAATGGTATCAGGCGCCCACTTCTTACGGATGAACCATGGCAGGCATGACGCCACCCACGCGTCGGGGATGAGACGGATGAAGGCCCCCCAAGGAAGGGAAATCGCGCCGAGACCGATAGAGAGGCCCCATTCCTTGCCATTCAAAGCATGGATCTGAAATGCCTCGCCTCCCTTGAAAATGATGAGAACCTGGCCACCAATCATGATCAGGTTGATTCCGATGAAGAAGTAGTTCTTGGTGATATTCTCAAAGATGTTGAACCTATTGTCTAGGCGGCGGTTGCTGATCGAGTGTCAGTAACTTATTCAGTCTTTCATTACGGATGACTTACTTGAGCTCATTAAAGATCTGCAGCCAGACAAACGTGTTGAAGACAAGGGTATTGAGACTCTTGGTATCGTCTTCAGACGTGCCGTAGCCCAATAGACTGCGTCCAGCAAAGTTCAGGACAAAAGTGATGACAAGCTGTAAAATGGCCTGCCCAATGATCATCTTCGCCATCCTCAACGTGATAAGTGAGGCAGACTTCCTATCAGGCTTGCGGTCCAGGACAGACCGCGTCGGCGGGTCAGTGGCAAGTGCAAGCGCGGCGAACGTGTCCATGATCAGGTTGACCCAGAGCAGTTGGACGGCATTGAGCACTGACTCCTGGGTCGGGCTGGCGACTGCAGAGACGAACGTCAAGACAACAGCGGTGACGTTCACGGTCAGTTGGAACTTGCGGATGTTAGCGAATTCGGTCAACGCTCTACACTGGTGTCACTTACCTGCAAGAACTTTTTTACGGAGTCATTTACAGCTCTTCCCCACATCAAAGCTTTGACGATTGAAGCAAAATTATCGTCCATTAAAATGATACCGGATGCCTCTTTTGCGACTTCAGTGCCAGCGATGCCCATGGAGAATCCAATGTCCGACAATTTGAGCGCGGGCGCATCGTTCGTGCCGTCTCCAGTCACAGCAACCGTCTCTCCGAGATCCTTGAGGGTTCGAACAAGAATCCTCTTGTCTTCGGGACTTGAACGCGCAAGAACTTGCAGTTTGGGAACGATGTCTTTGAGTTCTTCCTCAGTCTTCCTTCGGAAAGTTGGACCTTCCATGGCGATGCCGCCGTCTTCGGGATGATAGATGCCACATTCCTTGGCGATTGCTCTTGCCGTCAAGATATTGTCACCTGTGACCATGCGGACAACGACGCCTGCGCGATTGCAGTCCTTGATAGCGTCAATGACTGAAGATCTCAGAGGGTCTTTGATGCCGTAGATTGCAATGAGGGTCATGTCTTGGTGAATCTTGTCAAAGTCTGCACTTCTTGAATCCTCCTCCGAGACGGCTTCCTTCGGCGGCCAAGAATCGAAATCTCGGAAGGAAGAGCCAATGGTGCGAAGGGTTTGGCCAGCGTAAGAGTCGATGGTTTGCGCGAACATGTCCTTGTCTTCCGTTGTCAGGTCCACGATGTTCAGATCGGAACTGCTCGGGTTGTCCAACACTTTGGTGCATTTCCCGAGAAGAATTTCGGAGGCTCCCTTCACGTAAGCCCTATACTTCCCATTGGAGAGCTTGACCACGGTAGCCATGTACTTGACTGCTGAGTCAAAGGGAACAACTTGAACAACATTTGCATTTGCTCGCTCTTCCTCTACAGGCCCTGCTCCAAGTTGATCCCGGCTGAAAGTGAGAAGCGCAACTTCAGTCTTGGACCCAATGAAAGTGTGCTCTCCATCTTGGTCTCCTTCAAAAGCAGTGGAGTTGACGGCATTACCTTGGATGAGAAGCTGCTTGGTCTCGGAGCTAAGGTCTTTGGCGAAGTCTCCGGCTGAAACGTTTCGGACTGAGTTGATATGGGTTTCGTCGGAAGGGGATGTACTACTCTTTGGCTTCTCTTCCTTAGAGGATTCGAGAGGGGCATCAGTACCGCCGAAGCTGATGCTTTTTCCAAGTGTCGTGGCAACGACTGACATTTTATTCTGTGTCAAGGTTCCTGTCTTGTCTGAACAAATCGTCGTCGCGTTGCCCATGGTCTCGCAAGCCTTGAGAACTCGCACCAAATTGTTGTCTTTCATCATACGCGATGTGGCGAAAGACAGCGCCAGAGTGACAGCCAAAGGTAATCCCTCAGGTACCGCCACCACGACTACGGTGACCGAAACAATGAAGAGCTTCAGGAACTGCTGGCCTTTCTGCTCCGGGGTGCCACTGTTTGTGGGAAGTCCAACGCAGAACTTGATGAAAAGGACCACAAACAACAGTAAAGCAGCGGCGAAACCAGCCTTCGCAATCCAATCTGCAAGGATGTTGAGTTTTCTCTGCAATGGTGTATCTTCTTGTTCGGTCCTGAGAGACATGGTAATGCGGCCGTATGAGGAGTTAACGCCTACAGCAGTTGCCAAGAAAGTACCAGTGCCTTCTTGAATTTTGCTACCGGAGATGATGAATGGGTCCATCTTCTCAATATCGGGACGATCGACGTTGTCTTTTGCCATTTTGTCGAGGGCCTCGTATACTTCGTCGGCACCGACCTTTTTGAGAAGATCAGACTCGCCTGTGGCCGACGATTCGTCGCACTTGACTCCGTGACCTTCAATGAAGATACCATCGACAGGTACCACTAGAAAAAAAGCTTGCATTAGCCCGGGATCGACGCTGATTTGGGAGGAAATAATACATACTGTCACCAGTTGAGAGGTGAACGACATCGCCAACGACGATGTCGTAGACGGATATTTCCACCGACTTGCCAGACCGGATAACTTTGACAGTACGATCATCATTTTTCTTGTTGAGAGTGTTGAACTTTTGCTGCATTCGCCAATCATTGATCGAGCCAACCATGACGACGATCACAATGGCAACCATAATGGCAACACCCTCAACCCATTCAACTCTAGCTTCACCCGGTTCATGTCTTTGCCCAAAAGTCTCGTATAAGCCCAGTGCGAGAGAGACGATGGCGGCAATCGATAACAAAATCAACACCTTGTCGTTGTAGGCGATCCATACCATCTGCAGAAAGGACTTTTGTTTCTTGTCGGGCAATCTATTGTCTCGAAATGCATGTTTCCGGTCGGAGAAACCACCAGTGTATTCACTTGGAGGAGGTGGAATGGGAATGTCATTCTTCGCCTTGGTTTCTGGCTGGGGAACTGTGTTTCCAGATGCGCCGTACTTTGGGACTCCCTTGTGGGCTACTTCCTCGAACGAAACGGCATGATCCAATTTGTCTTCGTCAACACCCAAACCGGTTTTGCGATTGGTTTGAAGACCCTTCTCCAGGCCAGCAAGACCTCCAAGAGCGTAGAAGGCATTGTGACTTTTCGGGTTCAAGAGCTTGCTCAGATGACCAGGTGCGAACGCAAATTTGTTGTTTTCTTTCGTGTTAAACATGTCCTCGGTGCCGCGATCAGGAGTCAGGGCATCTGCCATATCCAATGAGAAAATGCGGGATCCGTGGTGGTTCTCATCCTTGGCTGTCTTGGCCTCGATATCGAGCGGTTGCTGTTGGTTCTTCTCATCCTGGTCCGAGACTTTGATGCCCTTCTCGGCATCCTTGTTGGTTATCGCCATGATGGCGATGGTGACCAGTCGATGTGGCGTGTGGCTTTTGGGTTGATGCAGTATGCAGATGCTGAGTTGTCGTGGGATTTTATTTCAGAATAGTCTGTTGAGGGAAGATGTAATTGGGCCAAGAAAAGTATTGTTGTTTGGTCTAGACCGTCAGTGAAGCAGGAGGGAAAGGCGGTAGAGGCGACAAGCAGATATCGCTGAAGACGGTGACTGTAAGGTACGGAAGGAGTGAATGAGGTTGCTCTTGCCCGATGAATTGAACGAGGTGCAAGAGCTGTTGCGAAGGTTACCAGGAGCCTAGAAAGCAGAAGGCGCGGTGATGCTTTTGGGAGGCCTCCTCTACGCTTATATAGAGAAGGAACAGCCGCGACAGAAAGCGCACAGCGAAGTGGAGAGAGATGAAGAAGAGACAGCCAGAAGGGAAGAGAAGAACAGCAGATGGTATTATTGTCTACTCTCCAGGAAATGAAAGCACGTCCTACCAGCCTGCCTCGCCCAAGTGCGACATCCTTGGCACGCCCAACCTGTGTCTGTTCATACTCGCCCACAGCATTATGATTAATTTCACCTGCTATAACCGCGTCTACAAAGCCGACACCTCACTTTTTACTTGCATAAACCGCGGCACACCGGGGTTCAAGCAAGTTGTTCAACCAATCGTCGGACGAACAATGACGATGGAAGATTGTTGTCAACCATTATGAGGCCCGGCGAATCTGACCTTGGAAGGGTCAATGCCAAGAACGAGCGTGCAGGGCTCCGACGATTGTAGAGAGCGCATTCGCTGGCTGCTCCTTCGAGTGTGTTTTTGATTTGATGAGAGCGAGACCAATATGTCGCCTAGGTCTTGGCAAAGGCGGACTGAGTCCAGAAAGCTTGACTGGCGGGGGGAAGCTTGTGTCTTCTTAGCCAAGTCGCCTGTGTACGGACGACATTTATTTGGTATTATTGAGAAACCCCCCTTGATATTGATTCTCCCTCTCTTTTCGTCGGCGAGCGTCGCAAAGCGCAACACATTGCAGTTGGAAAAGTTACCCTACCTCCCCAACTGGATTTGGCGGTATGTGTTTCTTGATCTTCAATGGTCTGAAGTCTAGCTCCCCGATGATGAGGTGGGACGCGCTATGTGCCACTCCCTCTCAGCCATGTTGTATGTATACATCATGTTGCCTGATGGAGAAACGCCTATCGACCACACCATCATGCCGATTGGGGACGTTGAGAGGTGGCTTGTTGGCTACCATACAGTCTGCAGGGCAAGCAACGCTGATACTTTGCGTCTAGATAGCGGTTGATGCTGCTTCAGAAGCTAACGCCTCAGAGAGTGGGTGCAGCCCGAGTGGATAGTGATCTGATTGAAACGGGCAATGAGGAAGCCAACTTACAATGGCCAGACGGGACGGCTTGCCGCATGAATGCCCACACTACACCCTGTCATTTATTACATTTGCCAAGACCTATTTGTTTTGAGACAGCACAGCTGGACAGACAAACCAAACTGGAAAAAACCTGGCAGCACAGGGGTAAGGATTCGCCAACATGGGATGGCACAGAAAGCACCGTACTTCTCATTTACTCACTCCTCACCGAAAGATACGCCGGTGGCCGGCAGGCCTGATCAGCCCAGAAGATGCGACACACGTGGCGTCATCCTGACCTGGTCGGTCTTTCACGGCTGGCTTCTAGGCGCGGGAGAGTGTGTCCGATCGACCAACCGATGGCTGCCTCCCTCTTCTCTCCTCCTTGCCCACCTACCATGACAGATCGCTGATGGTTGATTTCGTATGGAACTTGACAATACCCTATCCTTGTTGGTTGCCCTCTCGTCTGGTGTTCCTGAATCCGTCAAAGTGGATAATGTGTTTACAGCCAATCAGCGTCTTGTTTCTAGAAAGAAGGTTCAGCCCCCAGAATGGTCAGTGCGCGACGCAGGAGGGGTTGTTTCGACCTCAAGGAGCTTCCACATTCACTTTCTCTCCGCCAGCCAAGCCAAAACTGACGTGAGAGCTATCGACCGTAGCTTCGCATCGAAACCTGGCTTCAGCCGGCCCTGTATGCGATCTCGGATTGACAAGCGCAGGTAGATTATTACGCTGTCCCGACGTCTGCAGCTCCTCCGGCTCTCCACGAAACGGCCTAGCTGCACGCACGAACCCCGCCATCCCCTTGTACCGAGCTTAAGCTCCCAGTTGCGGCATCGCACAATCGCCCGAAGGCCGTCACCGAGCGCTTTCGGCCGGCGCTGAGCTCTTGCACCCAGCCTGCCTGAACGACGCAGCCTTGTGACGAACCTGCGAAGCTTTCGTTTTGAGCAGCTCCTCAACTACAGCCGGAAAGCTTGTAGCTTCTGCTGCGGCCAGCTCTGCTGAGCTGTCAAGGTTCCCCGACGAAATGCCTTCCGAACCTACAAAACCCTCAAACGCGGGTATCATCACGGATGATACAGGCGAACGCCAGATCCCCGAGTCGAAGCGAGCGGACGGCAGCGTCCGCAAAGCCATCAAAGTTCGACCCGGCTACCGCCCACCTGAAGATGTCGAAGTGTACAAGAACCGTACTGCCGCAGGGTTCCGCGATCGCGCGACACGAGGCGGTATTCCCGGCGCGACTGGCTTGAAGGAGGACAAACCCGACGCCTCTTCTTCCGCCGCGAGTAATAAGAATGCGAAGCGTCGAGAAGCACGAAAGAAGGCCAAGGCTGCCGGCGAAGAGGAAGGAGACGATACAACGCAGGCCGGTGTTGACAGCAACAATGCCAAGGCTGATGAGGCCGACCCCGAAGTCGAGAGAGAAAAGAAGGCCCGGAACCTTAAAAAGAAGCTGAAGCAGGCAAAGGACCTCAAGAACAAGAAAGAAGGCGGAGAGACGCTTCTGCCCGAGCAGATCGCCAAGGTCATCAAAATAAACGAGCTCATTCGCGAACTTGATGCTTTGGGCTTTGATGCCGAAGGAGAACCCAAAATTAGTGATGGAGCCGATGGCGACTTCAATACGAAGGAATCGTCGAAGGAAGCCTAACATTTTTATTAGCACTACTGGCGTCTCTCTCTCTCTCTCCCTCTCTCTTTCTCTCTCTCTCTCTCTCTCTCTCTACCAGCTCTGCCGCATGGTCAATGTTGGCCCAAGGCCGCTTCGTCAACCTCTCTGCCCGACATGCACCGCGCATATTGAATGGATGTCTCATCTATAGAGCACATCCAATATGATGAAGACTGAGCTTTCTCACCTGGCCAGCAGCCAGTGGGTGGTTTCGGGCTCTGGTGGTCTGTGGCTGGCTCGCTATAAGAGATACGTCTGATCCGTGGAGTTTGCAAGGTGAGCAGTTCCACGCTGACCGACGACATCCGACCCTCTTGCGGCAACGTCGGGTTCAAATACACGTCTCCACCTGGGCATTCCTGAAGTCAAAAAATGTGAACTTTGGGAGATGGAAACACGGCATGACTATGCTCGGTTGCTAGCATGAAGGTGCATCCGGCGTGCAATGCGTGGCGATGGTGCGTGGATCAGCAGATGGACGAATCTGGTTCAGGAATTGCGGAATATGATGTAGAAACAGACATCCACGTCTGCCTTCGAAAAGAGAAAGTTTCTGCTGAGATGCACAAAACAAAAGTCTCGTTGGCACCTAGATGTGATATTATTCAAGAGAGCACAGTGGTAAATCCAACAATGTGCTCGATCCACCAGATACCCGCCCACCACCTGCGTGCTGCCGATGCGGATAACGGGTCCTCAAACGCATTGAACTTGCGGGGCAAAACGTCTCAGCTATCTCGCATACAAGCTCCAGGTTGCATCGCCCACCTGCACCTGCGACTAAGGAAAGTAGCACTGGCAGGTGTGTTTTATTGCTTTGGTGTTCCGTAAAGGAGACTCGGAAGTGGAAGGGGCAGAACCCACCTCCCAACCCAGCGCTAATCCGGATCACACCGAGCCATCTATTCCGGACACCGATCGGAGCCAGGCCATGTGGAGAGGGATCTTTTCCGGATCATACCCGGTTCGCGCCATGGGTTCGGCCGGGGGCTGGTCACGTCTTTTCGTAATTTGCTCCGGGACATGTGGGGTTTGACAGATGCACGGGCCCACCCGACCCGATGCCTACGCATCGGCACCCTGAGGTTTGATGAGATTGGCTACATTTATCTCGATAGAGAAGATTACATGGCAAAGAGGAATAAGTCGGTTGCAGTAACAGAGGATTGGCAGTCATCTCTTCAAGCCAATGTGGCGAAACGGAAGATTCGAGGTGGATTCGCCTTGGAGTGAAGCTGGTTGGAAAGAGGAAGCGAGATGCTGCAAAAGTTTTCTTCTTCTCGACGCACCCGATAAATCTGTGCAATTACGGATATTGTTCAAGATATGGAATGACGTGAGAAAAGAAAGCTTCGGCGGCACCTTATTGATTATGAACCGGTGGGTTGATCAGGAAAAGCCCCTGAAGATGCCATGATATTTGATAATATTCCCAGACGGCAGGGCCTTGTTGTGGCTCTCTGTCGCCAACTTAAAAGATATTCGAACAGCCTTTGGCGTCGTATATACGGTACTTGGGACACGTGATGACGGATGTTGGTCTAAAACCGAAGCACAAGGTTTGCTACTCTGGATGGGCATAGGGATTTGACCCATATTGGGCGAATCTTTAGTCTCACTTTAATGTTATCATATAATCTTAATGCTGCCGGCCGGAAGCCACAATGATGCAGCCTACACTTTCGGATGAGCCGGAAATAACGGCAGCTTCCGTTGCGAACCCCAATCAAGACCACAATGAAGCCTCCGATCAAGGCCTTAACGAAGTTCGACAATATCGCCGTCTGACTTTACCATTCAAAGACTTGACGTGAATTAGTGATGACAACTCTGCTATTCGGCGATGGTGGCCGGGAAGTATTCTATATAAAGGCACGGTGCAGGGGTGGCGGGGCGAGGGAGCAGGCCGCCGCCAGGGAGACAGCTGTCGGCACCACACCGGGGCCGCCCTGATTGGGGGGGCACGGGGGCCGAGCGGCCTTTTGATGCGCTGGTGTGGCGTCAAAGCTAGGGTGGAGCTGAAGCTTACCTAGCCACCCGACTCGCGTGCTGCGAAACATACCTCCTACGCTGACGTTTCCCTCCGGACATGTGTTTGACTTCGACGACTTTCCAACCGACACGTTAACCACCTAAGTCAATTACCGCTGGGCTGGCCCGTACGATTCCTCCTGCTGTCTCCCACGTCCGCCTCGGGACGAATCTTATTGCTTTTTTGGCGACCCTTACGTCTCTGACAACCTCTTCTTTTGATGATCACCAACTTCCAGACGAAGCTCCGAACATGAGGCTTAGGGGCAAGGCTGACGCCCCGTGGCGCATCCTGCTGTCTGTCTTAACCTTGACAGCAGCTGTCCAAGCAAAGGACGAGCCGTCAATCAAGGTCACCACAATCAAGCATCCTCCCATCAATCTGAATTACTTCGAAGATTCTGACGCTATCCTCTACCACGATGTCTCCGAACGAAACATTTATCGGTCCGACGATGCGGGCGTGTCATGGAACAAGGTTTCAGACGTCCCTGGCGAAAAGGCCTACATGCTCACGATGCACGACTTTGACAAGAACCGGGCCTACGTGATTACCGAAGGCAAAGAACACTGGAAGACGTCCGACAGAGGCAAATCATGGCAGAAGTTTGAGAGCGTCGCCGGCACCAGCGCCTTCCGGGAGGACATACTCCATTTCCACGCCGGCGATCCGGATCGCATCATCTTCAACGGCATGGACTGCGCTGGCATTTTTTGCGAAGAAGTATCCATGTACACAACGGATGGCTTCAAGTCCAAGGCGAAGCCCCTCCGATTCAACAGTGCGGGATGCTGGTGGGCCAAATCCTCGGACCTCTTCACCACTGGCAAGGACGACCTCGATAAGCAGAGGATTCTCTGCATCGTCCGCGACAGCTTCTCGCCTTTCAAGGAAGACCAACGACTCTTTGCATCTGACAACTACTTCGAAAAGATTGACAATAAAATTCAAGAGTTCGAACCGAACATGGATACAAACCGGGGAGTGCAGGGTGTCGTCAACTTGGCTGTGGTCAAGAAATACTTGATGGTCGCCACGTCATCCCTCAACACAGATGAGATGGCCCTCTTCATCACGGACGACACCATCAAGTGGCATCGCGCCATGTTCCCCACCGACCATGGCCACAAGATCAATCAGGAGGCTTACACCGTCTTGGAAAGCACCAACTACAGTATCCAGATTGACGTCATGAACACAAGACCTTCGAACCCGATGGGTGTCATGTTCACAAGTAATTCAAACGGTACTTTCTTCATTGAGAATCTTGAGCACACCAACCGCAATCCCCGCGGCCACGTCGACTTTGAGAAAATCACAGGTGTCCAGGGCATCTTCATTGTCAATACTGTGAAGAACTGGGAGGAGGTTGAGAAGGACCCAAGGAAGGAGAAACAAATTGTTACCAAGATCACATTCGATGACGGTCGAAACTTCCACAACCTGAAGACCGGCGACGACGAGCTGCAGTTGCACTCTGTCACTGACCTTGACAACGTCGGTAGAGTGTTTTCCAGCCCCGCCCCCGGACTTGTTCTTGGAATTGGTAACAAGGGCAAGGCTTTGACCAAGTTTGGTGAAGGAGACGTATACGTTTCCGACGATGCAGGTGTAACTTGGAAGAAGACTCTCGATGGTCCTCACAAGTACGAGTTCGGTGACCAGGGTTCGATCTTGGTAGCTGTCAAGGACTCTAACAAGGAAGATGTTGGAGAATTCCGATACTCTTTGGACCATGGCGAGAGTTGGAAGACAGCCTCGCTTCCGGATGACCTTAAAATCAAGCCCGAGCTGATTACAACGACACAAGACTCAACTAGTCTGAAGTTCCTGCTCGTTGGCAGAACCGGAGGCGACAATGCTAAGTACAACATCATTGCGATTGACTTTGAGGGCCTGCACGAGCGAACGTGCAAGGACGATGATTTGGAAGACTGGCACGCCCGCCCCGACAGCGATGGCAAGCCTACTTGCCTGATGGGCCACAAGCAGACTTACCGTCGCCGCAAGAAGACGGCCGACTGTTTCATGAAGCAGGAATTCAAGGACCCTGTCCCGGTCACTGAAGATTGCGAGTGTACGGATGCAGATTTTGAATGCGACTACAACTTCGTCAAGGATGGTGACAACTGCAAGAAGGCCGGTCCTATCATCGCGCCTGATAATGCCTGCAAGAATGCCAAGCCAGATGACACGTTCAAGGGCTCATCGGGCTGGCGCAAGATCCCAGGAAACACCTGCAAGCGGAAGAGCGGCGCGCAAAAGGATGATGAAATCGAGCGAAAGTGCTCCGATATTATCAGCTCTCCGAGTGCCCCTGCCGACGGCAAGATTAAGGCGAGCCAGCACGTCTTCAAGACGGACCTGAAGGACTTTGAAAAGATCTACTTGGAGAGGGGCGACTCGAGCACTGAGGTTGACGAAACCATTCTTGTCAGACCGGTCGAATACGTTGGAAACAACATGCGAGCTGACAAGCAAATTTGGCGAACCAAGGACCATGGCAAGACTTGGGATAAGATTCTTGAAGACGAAGAAGTGCGCGGCATCTACCCCCACTACTACTTCAAGGATGCCGTATTCTTCACCACCGATTCCAAGAAGGTCCTGTACACGATCGATCGCGCCGAGCATTTTCACTCCTTTGAAGCGCCCACAAAACCCGGATCGAGCAACCCTCTCTCATTCCACCCCGACAAGAAGGACTGGCTCATTTGGGTAGGCGAAAAGTGCGAGAAGATTGATGGCAAGGACCAGTGCTTCAGGGAGGCGTCGATCTCAAGAGATCGCGGTGACAATTGGAAGACGGCCATGCGCTACGTCCAGAAGTGCGAATTCACCGGTCACTCGGCCTACAAGTTCCGCGATATGCGCCAAGTTGTTTGCCTTGCCCACAAGCGCGAGGACAATGAGAAGGATAACCCAAAGGTCATCGTCTCCAGCAAGGACTTCTTCGACGAGGACAAGCAATTCCACCAGTCAGATGTCAAGGACTTTGCTACCATGGCCGAGTTCATCGTCGTTGCCGCAGAAGACAAAGAAAAGGATGGCCTTCGTGCCCTTGCCAGCTTGGACGGCGTAAGCTATGCTGAAGCACACTTCCCTGTCAACTTCAAGGTGGGCCACCAGAATGCCTACACCGTACTCGACAGCTCTACGCATGCCGTAAACTTATTCGTCGCCACCGAGACTACCGAAGGGCGCCGCCACGGAAGCATCATCAAGAGCAACTCGAACGGAACCTCATACGTCATGAGTGCGCAAGCGGTCAACTGCAATGACGATTACTACGTGGATTTCGAGAAAATCACCGGCCTCGAAGGTGTCGCGCTCATCAATACTGTCGCTAATAAGGACAAGAGGGACGAGCCGAAGAAGGTCCAAACCCAAATCTCACACAATGACGGTTCTCAATGGACCTTCCTTCCCCCGCCCAAGGCTGACGTTGATGGCAAATCTTACTCATGCAGTAGCAGCGTGGGAGACGAGAAGTGTGCGCTGCACCTTCATCACTACACTGAACGAGCGGATAAGAAGAAGACGTTCTCAGCTGCTACCGCGGTTGGACTCATGTTTGGTTACGGCAACGTGGGCCCGAATCTGGGCTCCGTCAAAGACGCCGACACCTTCATGACGACCGATGCTGGCATTAGCTGGAAGAACGTCAAAAAGGGCGCTTGGACGTGGCAGTACGGTGACCAAGGATCCATTGTTGTCCTTGTTCAGCGCGCCAGCCGCGAGAACCCAGTCAAGACGAAGACCATTCACTACACTACGGACGAGGGCAAGACCTGGAAGCCATTTGACTTCACCGACAAGGAAGTCACAGTCTTGGACATCTCGACCCTTCGCTCTGGGGCTTCGCGCAATTTCCTCATCTGGTGCAAGGACGATGGTGGCGAGATGTTCTCCGTCAACGTCGACTTTACTGGCCTGAGCGATCGCCCTTGCAAGAATGACGAGAACGGTGACTCTGACTACTACCTGTGGTCGCCCAAGCACCCCTCGCAACCCGATGACTGCCTATTCGGACACGTCTCGAAGTATCTGCGCAAGAAGGACGAAGCGAACTGTTACAATGACCTCAAGGTACAGCACCTGTACCAACTCCAAAACTGCACTTGCACCAGGGCCGACTATGAGTGGTAAGCATATTCCTACATGTCAGTATTGTACACCGTGACTAATGATTCGTTCACAGCGACTACAACTTTGAGTTGGATGGCCACAAACAGTGCAGTCTTGTTGAGGGCAAAGCTCCATTGTCGGCTGAGCAGTGGTGCAAGGAAAACCCGGACGCTGTCGAATACTACGAACCCACGGGATATCGTAGAATCCCGCTCACCACATGTGACGGAGGCCAAGAATTCGACAAGCAGGCCAACGTTCACGCCTGCGCCGGCAAGGAAGAGGAGTTTGAGAGGCGGCGCAGAACGTCTGGCATAGCCATCTTCTTTGCCGTTGTCATTCCCGTCGGGCTCGCAGGTGCCATTGGCTGGTGGGTGTACCAGAATTGGAACGACAAATTTGGGCAGATCCGGCTGGGCGAGTCGCCGAACCTGGACAATGACGCGCCGTGGATCAAGTACCCGGTCATTGCCCTGTCGGCGGTGGTTGCCGTCGCGGCGGCCCTTCCGCTCGTCGCCTCGGCCGTGTGGAGGCGCGCCACCTCTGCTTACGAGAGAGTGAGCGGCGGAAGCAGGGGCAGCTGGCTCAATGGGCGGGGCAACCGCAGGTTCACGACGAGGGACAGCTTCGCGCGGGGCAGAGGAGATTACGACATTGTCGACGACGACGAGGGCGAGCTCCTTGGTGACGATAGTGACGAGGACGTATGAACGGGTTATCATGACTGGGGAGAAAACGGGTGGCTGCTCGCAAAGGCCTTTGTTCATCAGAGGAGGCAATGCGGCAGTCATCGATACTGTGACACTATTGTTTTCTGTTGGATTCCGGTATGGAAGGGGTATTGGGCACGCGGGGATTAGGCGAAGGCGGAAGAGAATATTGGTAGACCTCTCTTTCCTTAGAATATCTATGTTATCAGGCATGGCGTTGATTTCAAGCCGTTTGCTTCTCACTGTTGGATTTCAAATGGGTGCTCAACTGACCTGCATCGTGATCTTTCGACCGCTAGCTGGAACTTGAGAGTGGGCAGCAGCGCGAAAGCGCCGAAATGATCGGCGACGCCTCGTGCTCCGAGAAGCTGCTGGGCCTGGCTGATTGCTGTCAGTGTCAGGAGTCTCAGGACACTGATGTTCGCGCGAGTCGGAAAGACCGGATACTTCCGGCTACCCCGGGCCGGGGGACTCGACTCTGTGAAGGAGAGGCATTTCCGCGGCCGGGTGCAAGGACTCCCTCCCCTATCTGTGTGCCAAAGTATCACCCTCCAGGGACCTTGCCGTGGTGGAGACCGCGACGAGTCGTCGCCATGCTCTTGATGTGAGATGAAGTCGTCTCTGGTCTGGTTTTCATGATCCATTTTCACATCTCGAGAGCGAGTTGCTTTTAGAGTGGCCTGGGACATGAAAGGCGAGAGCTTTACGAAGACGATAAGCAAAGTACGCATATTAGGGAGACCCCCCAAAAAAAAGGGGGGGAAGGGGGTGATGATCTCGAATGGGCTGGACTCAGTGATTTGCAAACAAGAAAAAGGGTCAAGCTTTTTATTTTTTTGGGCTATTTTGGAGAGATCTGCCATGTTCACCATCCTATCCTACCGTTCGGATATCATCGTGTTCTTTCCGCTCGTGGTCGGGCCAATGGGGCTGATGGAGCACGGGAATCCGTACTGTTCGTACCGTAAATGAAAGGGGGGAACTGCCAATCATTTACTCAAAAGGGTTTCGAGTCCGGGTCGAGCCTGGAACCCTCGTTGTCTTCACATTTTTTGGGGATCAGCCTTGGCACTGTATCGTTTTTGGAAATTCGGAGGATTTCTGGGGAGATTGGGCCGTTCTTTACTGTGTGAGTTTGAGGAAAAAGATCTGCACAGTGTTTTTCTCGGGTTTGGTTGAAGTTTGAATGGTTCGGATTTGGATTTGTCGAGATTCACTAGTCAAGTGGTTGACAAAAAAAAAAAAAGATGATATTTACACAAAACTTCACTCACTCACTACCTTCGACTCCCTCCAATTTCACAGTGACTAGCCGATGCCGCCACCCATTCTTTTCTTATCGAAAAGAGGAGGATTATATAAAAGCAAAGGGGAAAATAGTCGTGCATTAATAGAATTTATGAATCATATAGGCAGTAGGCTGACATCTTTTTGGTTGTTGTGGTGGGTGGTTTGGCGTAGGTGGTTCGTGTGTATCACTTTCTGGTCAACCACTTTGCCAGTGACCAGACACGTTACTGCTGTATGATTGCATGCATTTGTGCAGCGACTGGGATGTGGGGTTGGTTGCCAACCTTGCTTCTTTGGCCTTGGAGATATGCTCTCGGGAGTCGGGAAGGGGGGGAAATACGAGAGGGAGATCACGAGTCCCACCCAAAAAGAGTCTGGTTCAGCTCGGCATCTTTTCTTGGGGGGGAGGGAAGTAGAAGGTGAGGCGGAGATGGATGTTCAGCGCAGAGTAGGGTCAAGGTTCGAGAGCGAGTAGCTGGAAAGGTTAAAAAAAAAAAAAAAAGGGGGTTTGCGGCCGCGGGAAATGGGGTCCACATCTGATTCGACGACCGTGTGCTTTTGTGCAGTGGTTGCATAATGAAGCGTGATTAAACATGGAAGACTTGTGCAGCACAGCATGCTAAGGTACTCTAAGGTACCTTACCACCTTGTGTACCTTCGCCACTCGTCCCGCGGTGGCTATGGCCCGCCAAGTTGTTCCTGTCCTGTTTTTCTTCGCGGCAACAAGTACAGAGCAATCGAGGCTACCTTACTTTATTTTCGGAATTTTGGCAGTTTCCGTTTATATCGGAAGGATCAAAAGACGGTTGCGCACGTCCGGGGCCTGCTCGCATGCGGTGGAGAGGGTTTGTGCGACGGCTGAGCTTAATCATTCATGTTGTTGGACTTGGAAAGATTGTACACAGCAGGTTTGTTTCCACGGACATTGACGTAGTGCACCTCTACTCGGTAAGGTACGCATTGTGGCCGCGTGCGAGAAGAGGAGGCAGGTACGGACTACCTTACGACACCATTTCGCAGCGGACCCTGTTGAAAATCCCGTATCCCGAGATAAGACGCTCTCTGCTCCGTACGAATGCATGCGGGGGAGAACCGTTCAGATTTCAGAAACAACAAGCCCCGGCCGTTGGAGATCCATCTCGCCTGGCACGAAACTTGGAAAGACATCCTGCCACACAGTAAGACAAATTGCGGCAGAAGAAGAGCGAGTAAGACAGATCGCAAATGGCTCTACCGCGCCATACTAAAGTGCGAGGCCAATGGCGCGTTTCGACTTGCCGTCTCTGGTGAGGCGTAGTTTAGTGGTTCAGATAGTCTACGTATTAGTAGTGTGACTTTGTCCATGTGGGTGGTTGTCTAAAAGTAGGCCGTCGGGTTATTTTCTGCCTCCGGTCGGACCTTGCATCTGGCAGATGCAGGTACGAATCATCGGGTCAAGCGCTATGCCTGATTGGAGATGCCATGCTCAGGCACCCAGATGCTTCTCGAGACCATCATCTCTCGGTGATGCGCCGTCGAAAGTCGCTGCAGATTGCCAAATTGCAAACACCCCCCTCGAGAAGCCGTGAGTTCCAGAAACCAAAGGCCGCAGATGACCAGACATTAAATTTTGCCGCCGAAGCGCGCCGGGCGATCAGCCACGAACACGAGGTTCAGACTCCTGGGGATGGCGGGGTGCATCAGCATCCGTGAGAAAGTCGGAATTGGCTGAGGTAATGAGGGTTCGTCGGAATCGTCGCGCTTGGGACAAAAAACCGATGGATTGACCAACGGCTTCTCGGCCTTGAACTTCATTTCATTTTCTTTCCCAATCCGTACGGATCATCATCATCGCAATCAACGTAGGGCAGGAAAGTTGTACGGAAGACGGGAGGCCCGGGTGACAGTTTTTCGACCGTCCATGCAGTCTGCAGAAGAAGGAGGATAAATCCTTGTTGGATGATCCCTCCGTTAATCCACGGACGACGGACGATACGAAAATAAACTGTCATCAGGCATGAACGGCACACTTAGCCCGATACCAATGAGAGAGCGAGAGCGAGAGAGCATTGACTGGGCAGGGCCTTGCAAAGGTAACGACCTTGCTGGCATGCGCAAGATGGACAGCGTCAGATCTGAGCCTCTTAGGTCACCGGTGCAAGGAAACCGCCTCAAAAATCAACGGCCAGCGCGACGGTGAGCCTTGAGGTGTACAAGGTAGGTGCCGTGCGAATGACGGTGAGGTTCCTGGATCATGAATGGGCCGGGGCTAGCGCACCTTGGATACACAGTATTACAGTAAACAAGCTTGGCCTGGGCGTTATCCCCTTGAGGCTTAGGGCCGCGAAAAAGAAGGTTCCCTGGCGGAAAGGAGGAGGTTCATCTCATTTTCTGGGCTGGTACTAGAGCGTCTAATGTCGCTTAGCTAATTTCCCGGGCGCACCAGTCCCCTCGCCCCTGGGCTCCCCTCCGTGCCTCCTTCCTTGCAAGCTGCGGTTCCCTCCAAGCTGAAGGTCCAACTTGCTTTCGCCCCACCCGCTGCACCCGCCGATCCCTCCCCAATCAGTGGACTGCAGTCACTGGACTGCCACGGGTACCTTGCAGCTCCGCCTCTACACTAGCTTCTGCGGCGCCTGCGGCCTGTCACGGGCTGCATCCTTCTTCTGCCTTCACCTCCAAACCCGTTTGGTTCCATTATGTCTCCTCGTGCTCACCGTCTCCCGATCATTCTTCGTTGCTTCTTTTGGCCCTCCGCCACTGGTCTATCCGAGAGCCCCTAGCCCAGACTGGATTCTTTCTCGAACCACGCTCACACGCTCACAACGTCGAGCCCAATTTCACCACACAATGTCTCTCAATCGTCTGTTCAGTGTTGCCCAGCCATCAATTTTGGGTCAATCAAACGCAACCTTCGTCGACGGTGGATTCGGTTGGTCAAGACTCAGACTCAAGGGGACTCGCCCCGGCTTCCTCAGACCTCGCCAGACTCGCCCTCTCTCGCCGACGCCCACTCCTTCACTCGCTCATTTACCGTCCAGCCCGTCTCTGGGCTGCATCTGCTTGGCCTGCCGCCTTCCAAGAGCCCAAAATGATACCCCAACTATGCGTAACCGGGATGGCCATTTCGCCTCCCTTTTCCTTGCCGTCTGTCGTTCATGATGACCGTGGACAAGGTGCTTCTTGTCATCTCATTGACTCGACTGCGAGCGCAGTCAAGATTGCCAGCCCGTATCGACCCGTCAAGCCCCTGACCAAAGCTCTCCCCGGATGGCAACGTCTCCGTTGTGATCCTCAACCGACAGCTTCCGTTCGCATTTCCCCGCCTGGCTGCTGACCGTGATCCCGAGATCCCCAGACACTCACCCCACCGGGACTTTTGACGCTGAGATTCGTTTCTGGCTCCTACCGCTCTGCCTCCTTGTTCCTCAGCCTTCTGTTGTGACCTGCTGCCGAGAACAGGGGCTTGTTTGTTGTCGAGATGCTGCTTGTATCCGTACACACACAACCACAGAAACCCCTCAGTCTGGGTTGAGACAACTTTGCTCTTACACGTTGCCCATTGCCTCTGTAACCCGCAGCCAACAGCCGTGGGATCAACAACTTGCTCCTCGACTTAGTAAACAAGTGTCACCCACATCAAGGAATACACACACACACACACACACAGTGTCCCCTCCTCTGCCAATGCCATCCAATGTAAGGTCATTGGACGCTGGCCTGCCCGCACTTTGTCCACTCATCCGTCTTGGAGTGGGCACACACACACACCGTCGCGCACACACCCCGGCCCAGGGCCCCCGGGGACATGCTAGACTTCTCACAGTCGTACCCATGAAAGTACGGATACTAGCCTTCTACCTAATCTAACCACCATCACAATAATAACATCCCAGTCCCGCCAGTTTCTTTCCTCCTCTTTCTCTTTCCCTTTTTCTCTCCTTACGAAAACACCGTCAAATGAGTTGATGCCGTCAACGTAGTTTCGTCGTCCTTTCGTCTCTACTCGCGAACCTTCACCACCGCTTCACTCTTTTAGCGGGCACTCGCTTCCCAAGTCGATAATACTCATAAATTCCCCCAAAAAGGCAACTTAATTCACCATGAAGGGCTCCATCCTCGCCGCCGCCGCGGCCTTCACCGGTGTCACCGCCGCTGCCCACCGTCACGCCCACGCCCACGCCGACCTCTTCAAGAGGGGCCCCGACCAGGCCTCCATCTGTGTTCCCGGCTGCACCACCATCTACACCACCATCTACGGCGAGCCTACGCGTATGTCTCTCCCATTCATCGTTCCACACCCTCACTCTGTAACCCTACTGAGTTTTGGGGCGGACGTCGCTTGGAGTGGATCTTCTTGCTGACCTGACGATCAACAGTGGTTCCTAACCCCCCCAGCAGCTCCAGCAGCACGTCCGTCGCCAGCGCCCTGCCATCGGCACCTGCGATCACCGAGGCCCCTGAGCAGCCCACGTCCACCCAGAAGCCTGTTGCGCTTGTCCCGACTCCCGTCCCTGAGCTCTGCCCTACTCCGGGTATCTACAGCTTCCCGGCCACCACCCTCACCGTGAACCAGACCACCACGGTCGCCGGTTCTGAGGTCACCAAGGTCCCCGCCGGTGTTCACACCATCGGCGGTGTCACAACCGTTGTTGTCAATGCCACCACCGTCGTCTGCCCGTACGTCGCCGAGAGGACCGCGAGTGGCGGCGTCGTCACCGAGGTCATCGAGACCACCACCTACGTCTGCCCTACCCCCGGCACTTACACGATCGCTCCCATCATCACGACCGTGACTGCCCCGGCCAACTGCGTCTACCCCGTCGTCACCACGATTAACCCCGGTATCTACGTCCGCCCTCCCGTCGTGACCACCATCGTCGAGACCGACGTTATCGTCGTCTGCCCTTTCACCAGCCAGAACCCGGCTCCCACCAGCTCCGTCGTTGCTCCTGCACCCTCTAGCCCGGCTCCCGCGCCCACCACCGCGCCCCCCCAGCCTGAGCCCCCCGTCGAGACCCCCAAGCCTGAGCCCACCGTCGATTCCCCCAAGCCTGAGCCTACCAACGAGGCCCCTGCGCCCACCGCTCCGGCTCCGGCTCCCGTTTCCACGACCCCCGCCGTCGTGACCCCCGAGCCTGTCTCCACCATAGCCGAGACGTCATCTGCTGCCGCCCCTGCCCCTTCCGCCCCCGCTACCGGCGGTGGCCTCGGCGGCAACAACGGCGACCACTGGGCCATCACCTACACCCCCTTCTCTGAGGATGCCTCTGGATCCTGCAAGACCGCCGACCAGGTCGATGCCGACATCTCCACCATCAAGAAGTCCGGTTTCCGCACCGTCCGTGTCTACTCCACCGACTGCAGCACCCTCGAGAACGTTGGCGCCGCCTGCGAGAAGTATGGCCTCCAGATGATCATTGGCATCTTCATCAAGGAGTCCTGCGACCCCAACTCGGCCGACGTTAAGAACCAGGTCGACGCCATCACCGCCTGGAAGAAGTGGAGCATGGTCGAGCTCGTCGTCATCGGTAACGAATGTATCTTCCAGGGCCGCTGCTCCGCCAGCTCCCTGAAGCAGCTCATCGTCTCCACCAAGGCCACCATCACCGCCGCCGGCTACTCCGGTCCCTACACCACCGCCGAGACCGTCGGCGTCTGGCAGCAGTCGGACGTCATCTCCGAGATCTGTGACGTGATCGACGTCGTCGGAGGTCAGATCCACCCTTACTTCAACGCCGATACCGCCGCCGCCGACGCCGGTACCTTTGTCAAGGGCCAGATCGAGCTTCTTGAGAGCTCCCAGATCTGCGGCAGCAAGCCCGCCTACAACCTCGAGTGCGGATGGCCCTCCGGCGGTAACTGCAACGGTAAGGCCTGCCCCGGTACCTCTGAGCAGGCCACCGCCATCGCCTCCATCAAGGACCTCGCCGGCGGAAAGACCGTCTTCTTCTCCTTCCACAACGACGAGTGGAAGGACCCTGGCAGCTGCGGATGCGAGCGCACCTGGGGCTGCGGCGACCTCTTCTCCTCTTAAAGACGAATGACACCATAGGTGACGGACAAGAAGAGCCGGAACACAAAGTTAAAGCCCAATCAATTATTCTAATTCCAACGTTTGGCACGAATAAAGATCCCCTCCGACGTTGCCCTTGAGGTGTACCCATGAACCGAGTAAAGAAAAAACCACAGGCGCCGGCCTTGTTTTTTTTTAAAACCGCCCCTTGACGAAGACGATTTGCAACGTTTCCCTTTCAAGTGTACAATGACAATTGGATACCCCCCCACCCACGGCCAGACCCGAGGACTTCAAGTGATCCCTCCTCCATACGGGCTCGAAATTTACATATATCCCTCTAGCGTAATTATCTCTGTACATATATATGCTCTACTTTGATTCATGTATGGCAGGTTGGGCAAAGTACTCTGACACATGTTTGTATAAATAACTTGATATATAACTCGGAAACGCCGTCAAGGGCGCGTACATCGGTCGTGGGGCTTCGACGCCTTGATTAATAATTTTATGTGTCCTCGATCAAGTCCCATTGTTGATGAGTTTCCTACCCATGTGTGTGCCTTGGCCCCTCAGGATGCGATTGTCCTTCCTCTGCACGCCTTCGAAAATGAAGACGCAAACCCCTCTATACCGCGTGCGTATTTACTGAACACGTCAAGGGCGAGGGACAATAGGCACTCAGAACAAGCATAAAGTTTAATGCGGCTCTTGTCGCACATCTATCTCTATATCTACCTAGTAGACGATAGAAGTATTAAGCGTTGGCGCGGAGGTAAAGTTACTTTGTACAGTTGGGGTCGTCTGTCATCCCTTTGTTCCCCTTCAGTTCCCCCGACTTTCTTCATCCGAACCATTGGTCCGTGCCAAACTCAGCCAATTCTGACCGGCTTAGGACGTGCCGCTAGCTACTTTTCAACAAACCATATACCTCAGCTACCAACTTACTTGAGATTATTTGCAACCCGAATTCACACCCTGTATGTTTCGTGTCAAATACAATGAATTTTATCGGCCAAGCGACCTAAAGAAAAGATGAGTACATAGATCATGCCCCAATTTCATCCTCCTCTTTTGTCTTTCCATCTGACAAAGAACAACAACGAGCAAAAGGGCGACCTGTGCCCAAGCAAGAATCGACATACATGTTCAAATATCCTTCCCGGCGTTAGACTCCTTCCTCATCATCATTGAAACAACCTCCTTGCCTCTTTACCGTTTCGCTCAGACTGCATGACCAATGTGGAGGTGGTAGAGGAGGGAAAGGGAGGTCAACAACCTTGAAAAAAAAAAACACGTACAAAGCAGTCATGATATAGATGGTATTTCATCAAAGCCTTTATCAGGATATATTCCGGGCCCCCTTCACATCCCCACATGAATGGGTTGATGGCCTTCATCGCCCCCATTCATGAAACCCCGGCCCCGCTCCCCCCCCTCCGTCATCTAATAAACAGACCAAGCGTGTGTAAAAAGCCAGCTCCCCAGAACATGAAGCCATAATGCTGATTCGGATCCAAGGTTTCATCCATCATGTCAAGAGAAAATATGTGTATCCGCATGCCCCGTACCAAAGTAATGCTTACCAGAAAAATTCTCAGGAAAACAAACACGAGCAGCACGAAGTGACAGAGACAAAGCAAAACAGAACCAAGAGAGCACACGACCAAAGCAAGAAGAAAAGAGAACACACCGCAAAAGAAGCAAAAACAGAAAACATAGAGAAAAACATGAGGAAATAGATCTATACCACGCCGCGGAAGAGAGGGAGAAAGAGGGAGAGAAAGAGAGAGAGAGAGAGAGAGAGAGAGAGAGAGAGAGAGAGAGAGAGAAT